CAACACAAAATGTGACATACTTAGAAAAGGTTGTGTAGGTAATCCCTCATCTACTACTATCTCTGATGTTATGTTAGTTGAAGGCCTTAAACATAATCTACTTAACATTAGTCAACTGTGCGACTATGGTTATAAAGTTTCTTTTTCCAAAGACTATTGCATGATCAAACATAATGAAAATATGAATTGTATGTTTAATAGTGTGAGGATAAACGATATTTATATGCTTAACTTGCATGATGTATCCATGACTGATGTTGAATGTCTTGTCACCGTGAATGAAGATTCATGGCTATGACATAGGTGCTTAGCTCATGTTAACTTTGACTTGATAAATAAAGTAGTCTATAAGGATCTTGTAATCAGTCTTCCAAAAATAAAGTTTTCAAAAGACCACCTATGTGATGCATGCCAAATGGGTAAGAAGCCAGGGTCTCATTTCAATCTAAAAACATTGTTTTAACATAGAGACCACTTGAGCTTTTCCACTTGGACCTCTTTGGACCTTTACAGACCAAGAGCTTAGGTGGAAATTATTATGGTTTTACTATTATTGACGACTACTCGAGATTTTGTTGGACTATTTTCTTAACAAGCAAAGATGAAACATTTGTAGCTTTCACACGTTTTGCTAAGTTATCCCAAAACAAACTAAATTTGAAAATAGTTGCAATTAGAAGTGATCATAGAGGTGAATTTGAAAACCACCTCTTTGATGAATATTATGATAAACAAAATGGTGTTGTGGAGCAGAAAAATCGTATTTTGGAAGACTTGGCAAGAATGATGCTCAATGAGAGTTCTCTACCTAAATACTTTTGGGTCGATGCGGTTGGCACAACATGCTATGTCTTAAATAGGATAGTCATTCATCCTATTTTAGACAAAACTCCATATGAATTTTTAAAAGGTAAGAAACTCAATTTATCAGATCTTCATGTTTTTGGTTGCAAGTGTTTTATTCTAAATAATGGTAAGGATAGCCTTGGTAAATTTAAAGTGAAAGCCGACAAAGGTATCTTTCTTGGGTACTCTCAAATTAGTAAAGCACATAGAGTGTTTAACAAGATATTACTTATTGTTGAAGAGTCGGTTCATGTTTCCTTTGACGAGTCTTACCCGAAAAATGTTAGGAAAGGTACTTCTTTTCATGATACATGTGCATCTACATAAGACATACTCAAGGATATCGAAGAAGGAATTGATCAACCTGAATTGGTAAAATCTGAGGAGGAGGAGGAAGGTGACCCTCTTGAAGAGAAGAATGATAAAGGTAAAAAAAATGATGGACTTCCTTTAGAATGGAGAACTTCTAAATACCATCATATTGAAAACATTCTTAGTGACATCACAAAGGGGGTAACCACTCGCTCTAAAATAAGTAATTTATGTTATCACTTTGCTTTCGTATCTTAATTTGAGCCTAAAAATTAAAAAGAAGACTTGATTGATTTAAATTAGAAAGAATCATGCCTTTAGTGGTATCTTGTAATACTCTTATTGGATTAATTCATTGAGAATATTCCAAGATCTCTTTGTGTTGTGTTTGGCTTATGTGTATTTTAAAATATTTAATTTTGTTTTATGGGACCTAAAATGTTTTTGAAATTGTATTTTTAAGGATAGGTTTATTCAACCCCCTTTATGACCTTGTTGTGTCCATATTCTCACCCCAGCAATTAGTATCCGAGTGAGGTTTTTGATCAAAGTCTTACGACTCGAAAAGTAGAGGACACAGTTCCTTTTCGATCCTATACGGGTTTTTTCTATTTGTTTTTAAGCTTATGTAATACAATGAATCCCAATAATAATATAGTGATTTCCTGATTTTTGATCATTCACTACATATGATACATAGATTAACTTAAAGTAAAGCCTTACTGGTATTTTCTTTAACCATCAATTACATTTAAGATATTCTCTAAGTTTTGATTCATACAGGATTTAGGTATGTGTAGTGTAACTAGAAATCTGAAACTATGTCATAAAGTTTGTTCTTGATTAATCCTACTTAAAGATGGACATGTATTTAGGGGTGTTTGCGGTGCGGTTTGGACGGTTTTGAAGCAAAAAATCACCCGAACTGCAAGAGAAAAAACATATAGTTCGGTTTGGTTCGGTTGACTTTTAAAAATAAATCCGAACCAAATCAAACTAAACTAATGTGGTTTGGATTGATTCGGTTGGTTCGGTTTTTTACAAAAAAAAATTATTAAGCCATACATACACATATAGAGGAAAATATAATTTTGTGTTTAATTGTTCATACATTACCATAAAAAAATTATAATTGTCAAAATAAGTTTATAATTTGATACATAAAATTGCGTATTATAATTTTATCTAAATCTAAAGAATGATATAGACAAGATTGCATTCTTAAATAAATATTATACAAAATATGATAAAATATATTTTGTGAAAATAGTATTTATAAATGAATCATATTTTGTTTTTTTATGATTTGTAAATTAAAATAAATATCATACAAAGTATGATAAAATATACACATAATACATATTGACTTTTCTAAAGAATTAAAGAAATATAGACTGGTTAGTAAGATTTTATAACATAATGCGGTTTGGTTTGGTTTGGTTCGGTTTGCAAAATGTAAATCGCAAACTAAACCGAACCGCACGGTTCCGTTAGAAAATGACCCAAACACATCCGAACCAAATGTGGTTTTTTGCAGTTTCAGTTTGGTTCGGTTCGATTTTGAGGTTTTTTATTGGGTCAATTTGGTTTTGAACACCCCTACATGCATTCATATGCCAACATGCTTAAAGTTTATGAGAGATTAAAAAAGAAGCAAAAAGCATCTTCTAGTGAAGTACTATTCCAAGTTCATCGTAAAAATAAGATGAAGATAGTTTATGACATTTGACAATGTTCTATGAGTTCTCAATAATTATCAAAGATTCAAGGGTTTTAAAGTGTCCCTTAAAATGCTTATAATTGTCAATATTTGTCGATCAAAGATAATCAGAGTATCTGTAGTACAAGTTCATTTGAAGTCTTATGAAGGAGAGTCTGATAGTGGTTTTCAGACGTGCAAGAGGAGTTGTATCCTATTTGTTTATGATTGATCATATTTTAGCTTATGTTATTCTTGTTGTTGATTACTAATTGTTTTCGTATGCAACAAATTAAGCCTAATTTATCAAAAATTGGTATGATTGTTCCAACTCTCCTTTATTCTTTTTGTTGTATGCGTGTTAGTAATTATTTTCGTACGTAAGTATATTACTTTTCTGAAATATGTGTATGTGTTATACTTGTTCATTTCATGTTTTATTCATTCAGTTGTCTCGTGCCTAAATTTAGATTTTTATTTCATCCGTGCATAACATCTACATTCACATTATTCATTCATTTATTCATGCATCATCATTTATTTCTAGCAATAAAACAAAAATTGTGTTCCTCAGAGGAAAAATGTCGAATGTGATGCTTTAACAACAAGTTCAGCAAATTAAACCAGAACTAACATAATTATCACAATATGAGTTGTACAAGTTGATGAAGCTGAAAAAACAATAAATAACATAGAGAATTGGTAACCTAATTCGGTGAAACCACACCTACGTATGGAGGGTTGAGTCTACAACCCAAGAAAGGAAATTCATTATTTAGTAGTATAGAATAATTAGTCTTACAAGCAACAATAAGCCCGTGTTGTTCAATGCCTCTTTGTCACCGCGTGAAAAATACCCGAGTATAAGGAACACTCTAAATACAATATAGTAGCCACTGAACTTTATTCATTCCAAAAGGAAATGGGAAGTATCAATAAAACCCTTACAAAAAAGAAAAATGATCGTCGCAACTAGAATCGGGTTCGAGAGTCGGTTATGTAAGAGAAATGTATTAACACTCTTCACATCCATTGTACTCAACAAGACTCGTTTAGTTAGTTTTGTGAAAGACTATTAGCATATGTTATTGGCAATTTTCTACTTATTGCGAGTTATTTACAAGCGAAAGAAAAGGGAAACTTTTAAGTTTTTTATTAATGCACCCGACGAGACGTTGAATGTTGCTCCTACGTATCCCCATGTGAGATGGGGAACTCAAGACTACGTAATTCTGTATAATAAATATTTATTGATTGGTCGATTTTAGTGAAAGATACTTTATCGCATTCGAATAGAAAAACATTGCTTGTTGCCAAAAACATAGAGAAACGAATATTTACATCACATCAAAAATAGATAATATAATCTAAATTCTCACAAATTTATGTCCTCGTTAAATTCGAGTAGAAAACGTTTATCATTCTCATGTGGTAGGAATAAAGCTTTGTTTGTATTTGAAAAAATAAAACAAAAAACTATTGAAATATGAGCAGAATATATTATCCTTACTCCCACCTCATTTTATCACATTTATTAATTATATTATTTAAAATTAAATATTTAAAATTATTTATAAAACTTTAAATTAATACCAAACATATTAATAAAAATCTAATTCTTGACAATTATTTTTAAATCTCAATAAAAGAAATTTAATTTTTAAATTTATTGAATAATTAATATATGTTATCTATATATAAATCAAATATATTAATTATTTAATAAATATAAAAAATAAATTTCTCAAGCGGAAAAAGAGTGAGAGCGGGTATGTTTCAAAGAAATAATATTTTTGAGATTATGGAAACACGGCAATGGTGGACTTACATTTTTCTCAGTCGTCTGAGTGGGTCCATCGACCAACGACACACCCATTAACATTCCACGTCGCAGCAAGTGTAACAAACCAATTAAAAAACGCCGCGTGGCACAAAAATAATCCAGCTCCGTCCAAAGATCCACGCTAGCAAATCAAACGCCTCAGAACACAACGAAAATTCCCGTAACAAATACGGAGTACAAGAAATAAACAGAAGTGAGATCGAGAGAGTATATAAATGGAAGAAGTGTAAAAACGAGATCTTCAACAAGAAGATTAACCTCAGTGTTAGAAGCTACTAGAAACTGTGAAATCGCACTACAATGAGGAAGAGGACTATCCCTTCCGCGCTTCTTCTTCTCTGTATTCTCTTTCTCTTTGTTGCAGATCAAGGTATATACTCTCATCTATGCACATTTCAACGTTTCTTCATCGTTCAATTTTGTTCTCAATTTCGTTTACGAGTCAGATATTTGTTTGTTAGGTCAAAAGTTTCAGGCGAATGCGGAGGATAATTCCGATGAGCTTGTAGATCCACCTAAGGTGGAAGACAAGATCGGTGCTGTTCCGCAAGGACTTTCAACCGATTCAGATGTGGCAAAGAGGTATATGTACACACCTTTATATCACTAGTTCATTCGATCTATGTTTCTATATATGGATTTGTGATTTTGGTATCTGAAATTGTGTGAATGAAGAGAAGCGGAGTCGATCTCGAAGAGATCGCTACGAAGCAACGCTGAGAAGTTTGAGTTTCAAGCGGAAGTTTCACGGCTTATGGATATTCTCATCAATTCGCTTTACAGTAACAAAGATATCTTCCTTAGGGAGCTTATTTCAAATGCTTCTGATGTAAGCTTGTTCTCTTTTAGAATTGGATAATTGTTGCATTTTGATTTTCTATAATAATTGAACTTTGTATTGATTGGAAATGAGTTTTGTGTTCTAGGCATTGGACAAGATTAGGTTCCTTTCTCTGACTGATAAGGAGGTTTTGGGTGAAGGTGACAACGCCAAGCTTGAAATCCAGGTTAGTTGTTGCTAAATATTTAATTTATTAGCACTATCTATTTTAGTAATTATTATTGTATATTTATCGATAGCTAACTAGTTTATTTCTCTAATAGTTTTTTTTTTTTGTAAATTATGATGACGACGTGTGAAATATATTTTATTGCTGTTTTTGTAGTTTATTTAGTTAAACTAAATTGTATTACGTACTGCAACAGATTAAGTTAGATAAGGAGAAGAAAATTCTATCTATTAGAGACAGAGGTATTGGTATGACAAAGGAGGATTTGATAAAGAATTTGGGGACCATAGCTAAATCTGGAACTTCTGGTATGTGTATAATTATGTGGCTTTTTCTGAAATCGTTACTGCTCGTAATTGGGTGTGAACGATTTTAATTGGAACTACGTGGCTGTGCAGCGTTTGTTGAAAAATTGCAGACAAGTGGTGATCTCAATCTAATTGGGCAATTTGGAGTTGGTTTCTACTCTGTGTATCTTGTTGCTGACTATGTTGAAGTTATTAGCAAGCATAATGATGACAAACAGTGAGTGTTTTAGATTGGAAATTGCTTTTCTGATTGGTATGTCCTGGTTGTTTTCTGAAATTTTATTCCAACCTATTGATTTTGGAAATTTATTTGACTTTCAGGTATGTATGGGAATCCAAAGCTGATGGAGCATTTGCAATTTCAGAAGATACATGGAATGAACCTCTAGGACGTGGAACAGAGATTAGATTGCACCTCAAAGAAGAGGCTGGGGAGTACGCAGAAGAGTTTAAGCTCAAAGTATGCCTCAAATTATTAGTTTGTTATTTTAATTATACTCAGTTTTTGATTTTAAAATTACACGTCTTCTATTTTACTCCACACAAGTCTTACCTTATACTACATAAGGATCATTCGCTTTAATCTTGATGGAAACAATATGTACTATGCATCTATAGCCAGTGATACTACTACCTTCACTTAAAAATATTATTTAGGTGTGTTCTTGATGATCATAAAGCAAAACCTGTAGTGTCTCGTAGGTTCTTTAACTCTTAGGGTGTGCTAAAGATAGTGTTTCTGAAGTGATTTCCTGTGATATTATATTCAATGTGAAGATATACAATGTTAAATAGAAGAATATGGGTAGTGTTTTTATGTAGTACTGCATTCCTAAAAAGCTAAGTTCTTATGGGTTAAATTAAATTTCACGGGCTGATTGGTTTATGAAACCAGCATATGGAATCTATCTATCTATCTATATCTATCTATCTATATATATATATATATATATATATATATATATATATATATATATATATATATATATATATATATATATATATATATATATATATATATATATATATTCTTACATTATCTATTTTCAATTTCAATATTTCAATATACAATTGGTCAATCTATCACTATATCTGAGTTAATTACTACCATTTTTCACAGGAATTGGTGAAGAGATACTCTGAATTTATTAACTTCCCTATCAATATTTGGGCAAGCAAAGAGGTTGACGTGGAGGTTCCCGCTGATGAAGATCAAGATGAGGACTCGAGTATGTATAATTTATGGATTTGGTTTGATCCAATGTTGTTAAATGGAGGCACAAAGCCGCCATGGCAGATTTTTTGTCATTTGCCATTGGCAAGTGAATGAATGCTCACCATGGCGGTGCCATGGGTTGCAATGGCATGTTTATTTGTCCAGTATTGTATATTAATTGACTTGAAATCGATGTCTTTTGTACCATATTTTACTCCTGAAACAGCTGATAGCTCCTCCAAGGAAGAAAATGAAGATGAAGATGCTGATAAAGGCGAAGACGAAGAGGAAAAGCCTAAAACAAAGACAGTGAAGGAAACAACTTACGAGTGGGAACTTTTAAATGATGTGAAAGCTATATGGCTGAGGAGTCCAAAGGAGGTTACAGAGGAAGAGTACACCAAATTCTACAACTCTCTTGCCAAGGTAAATTTTTGCCATCATTATTTATGTGTTACCTCACAGTAAGTATAAAGATCCACATCTCTCTGAGCTTGTTAATATTGATTTATGTTGCGCAGGATTTTAGCGGTGACAAACCTTTATCATGGAGCCACTTTACTGCTGAAGGTGATGTCGAGTTCAAGGCAGTCCTTTATGTGCCACCTAAAGCACCTCAGGACTTATACGAGAGTTATTACAATTCAAACAAATCAAACTTGAAGTTGTATGTTAGACGAGTGTTCATTTCAGATGAATTTGATGAATTGTTGCCCAAGTATCTGAGCTTTTTGATTGTAAGTTGATGTGCTGTTTTACTTTGGTGTGCGTTGTGAACATCCGAGTAGGTTTCCTTAATATATGTTCTTTTGGCATTGGGAACAGGGTCTTGTTGATTCTGACACTTTGCCACTGAATGTATCACGAGAAATGCTTCAACAACACAGTAGTCTGAAGACAATAAAAAAGAAACTTATTAGGAAAGCCCTTGATATGATCCGTAAGCTTGCTGAAGAGGATCCTGACGAGTCCACTGACAAAGAAAAGAAAGGTATGGTGTTTTGACTATATGTGTGAGAATCCCAATTCTTTTATAGTCTCTATTCTGTGTCAGTCCCATAACTGAATTCCCTTAACTGACCTTGCACTTCTACCAATATATAACTTTGATGCAGAAGAGTCGTCTTCTGATGTTGATGAGAAGAGAGGTCAATACACTAAGTTCTGGAATGAATTTGGAAAATCCATTAAACTTGGTATCATTGAGGATGCCACCAACAGAAATCGTTTGGCAAAACTGCTCAGATTTGAGACGTACTACTTCTTTCCTTGTGATTAAATTAAACTCTTATAGCAGTGTAATTTCCCCATTTCATTAGCTAACAACATTGCTGATTCTTGGAACTTATTTACAGCACCAAGTCCGAGGGTAAATTGACATCTCTTGACCAGTACATATCTAGAATGAAAGCTGGACAAAAGGACTTCTTTTACATAACTGGAACCAGCAAAGAACAGCTTGAAAATTCTCCATTCCTTGAGCGGCTTAAGAAGAAGAATTATGAGGTGCAACTAGAATTGTTTGAATTTCTATGCAGAGTCTTTTGTTTCTAGAAATTGTATCCATTTGATTTCTTACAAGTGTATTTTATTTTCAATTTTCAATTTGCTACAGGTTATTTTCTTCACAGACCCAGTTGATGAATACTTGATGCAATATCTAATGGACTATGAAGATAAGAAGTTCCAAAATGTGTCCAAGGAGGGTCTGAAACTTGGAAAGGATTCAAATGACAAGGAACTAAAGGAATCCTTCAAGGATCTAACAAAATGGTGGAAAAACTCCCTTTCAAACGACAATGTTGATGATGTGAAGATATCCAACCGATTGGATAACACTCCTTGTGTGGTTGTGACATCAAAGTTTGGTTGGAGTGCAAACATGGAGAGAATTATGCAGTCTCAAACTTTGTCAGATGCCAAAAGGCAAGCTTACATGCGTGGCAAGAGGGTTCTTGAGATCAATCCTAGACACCCCATCATCAAGGAACTCCGGGAGAGAGTAGTTAAGAACCCTGAGGTACATTCTAAATTTGAATTGCTGTGTTGTCTTATTTCATCCAGTTGCTTCTCTTTCCTTCAATATGGTTAACACGATGCTTGCTTTTCAGGATGAGAGTGTGAAGCAAACAGCGCAGCTGATATACCAGACTGCACTCTACGAAAGTGGTTTCTTGTTGAATGATCCCAAGGAATTTGCTTCCAGAATTTATGATTCAGTGAAGACTAGCTTAGACATCAGTCCTGATGCAACTGTTGAAGAGGAAGATGAGACCGAAGTTGAGGTTGAAAGTGAAACAAAAGAAGAGACTACTTCAACTCCTGAAGCTAATGAAGTAAATGATGATGCAGATGTCAAGGACGAATTGTAGATTTGCAGGACATCCTCTTTTTTACCGATGTAGCTGTCAGTTTCCGTTATTTCTTGAATCAGCTTTAAGATACTGTAAAAGTTCCCTGTCATGAGTTTTAGTAATTTCCTAAGTTAAAGGACCCATCTGTTGGAATTTTGTCTTAGCACAGTCATTAGTCTTAACAATGTTCAAGAAATACTGCTATTTTCTATCCTTTCTTTTTAAATTTTGTCAAAAATAGTGTAGCAGCAATTCCGCCCCCACTTTATTTATTATTGAGCAACGATTCAGCAATTCAGCCCTGCAATTGTAATGTTCCACCACACGAACATATAAAATCCTGCATTGCAGGATATTGTCTCAATACTGGCAGAATTTTCCTCTAAATCTCCTAGTGTTTATTAGTTTTGTAACAAAAACTAGTTAAAACAATACTAGTTATAACAATAATAATCATAATATTGAGGGTGTAATGAGTTGGTTTCATTTGCTCCTTCCTTGCACTGGACTGGGAGCAAGTTATGCTGATTTCTGAGGGCGCTAGGAGAAGAGATATATAGATTAAGAGATTAACACTAAATAATTCAAAAAACGTCCCAAGTCCCAATACAGTCATTAATTATTTGATTACATTGCCTATCAAAAGGGAATGATTTTAAGATCGGCAATGCCAGACAACATAATTGCAAATCACAATTAGGCCGGCCTAATCATGGTACAACCAAAGCTTTAAATACCCGCAAAGTTGGCTTTTTGTAGATATATTAATAGAATTCTAAACCAAACAAACATTGCTTTTTATTTCCCCTATATCTGTCCGTAAATAAATATGAAAAAAAAAAAGTAATATGTGTTCCACGGCACAAGTTAATAAACTTTTTATAAAAATATCTTTTTGAAACGCGTGCGTTCAATGTTTTAAAATTTTAAATATAATTTTATTATATTTAGTTATGTTTAAAATTTTCCGATTATAATACCTTTAACATGTGTTTTTAAGATATATGTTAACATGATCCAATAAATATTCACAATTATGCCTATAAAGGCTCTTTTGCTGTATGTTTTAGTCTATGAAATTCTGATTGCAATTGTTTAACATCAAGATTTGGTACTTGTGATTTAATTTTGCACTATAAATATTGTAGAGATAACAACATTACTCTTCATCCTACAATGAGTGATGATTTAATTTTGCACTATACTCTCTCCATCCTACGATGACTGATTCAACTCATTATTTTACACGTATTGAGAAAATCATAAAAAATAAGAGAGAATAATATTTTTATCTCTAATCATATATAAAAAATAATGAAAGTTTAATTAATAAGAGTGTAAAATTAAAAAAAATGTATTAAAAATTAGAATAAATCATTTATTTTAAAATACTATTTTATTTAAAGGATTCGGTCATTGTGGGAGGAAGAGAATAACATATAGTCATATAGTAAGAATCAATAATATGGAGTAAAAGTTGAGGAAGAGAGTAACATATAGTCATATAGTAAGAATCAATAATATGGAGTAAAAGTTGGACAAAGAGCAGAGTCATGAACAAGTTGAGAAACTATATAACCATTGTTAACTAAAATGAGTGATTAAGATTAAGAGAGAAAAATGAGTTAAAACACTTTGATATAATGTTTAGAAGGATATAAATATTATCTAATATGATTATATTTTCTTTTTTATTTATTATTTATTTATTTAATCCAAACAACATATGATTATGAATGCGTATATTTCAGTTTTTTTTAAATGATTTTTTACAATGTTACATATGTTATGTTGTAAATAAAATTTACAAAAGAATTTTTTATAAAAATTTCAAATAACTATTCGGTTTAAATAGTTTTTTAAAATATTAATTTAGATATTTTATTATTATATTAAAATTTCAGAAAAAATCATTTAATTGTGAAGTTATTTAAAATAATTTTTTATAAAAATTATTTTTGAGATATAATTTTGGCAAAATATTCATTTTGGTCAATTAACTATAGGTCATGGTTCACTTTGGTCCCTTATTTATTTATTTATTTTTGCGTCAAAATGGTTCCTTAAATTTTAAAACTCAACCACGTTAGTCTTTTCGTTAATTGGCCTCCAAAGTCTCTTTATTTGCGTGAGGGGGCAGATTTATTCATCTTCTTTATATGCATAAAACGTATAAAACGTATTTAAGTGTTTCAAAATCTCCTTCACAAAATTTTGTTAACGTTCTCCTTCCCAAAATTTTCTGTACCTTCTTCATCATCTTCCCTTTCTCCATGAATACGAAGCATTCATATTCTCCAAAGAACCACTGTCAATCTGAAAGTGTTAGGTCATGAGTATACAATAGCTCGCGGATTGCACCACTTTGTCGTTGCGGAGACAATGCTGTTCTTCGTAGCGCAACCACTGACAAGAATCATGGAAATTTTTTTTGAGTTGTCATAATTACAAGGTAAGCCCGTTTGGGTATGTTAAAGATTGTAAATAAAATTTGATCAAATTTGCAGGGCTCATTACAAAGAGGATGTGCCTCCGAGGAATTGGCAGGAGAATTGGCAGAAGACATAAACCAAGTATTGAGTAATAGATTGGAAAGCATAACAAAGGATTTAGATGAAATTAAGAATCAATTCGAAAAGAAAGGAAGAATTAGGGGATGCCGTGTTAGTCCATGAAATTCTGATTGCAATTATTTAACATCAAGATTTGGTACTTGTGATTTAATTTTGCACTATGAATATTGCGAGATAACAACATTACTCTCTGTATCCTACGATGAGTGATGATTTAATTTTGCACTATGAATATTACAGAGATAAGAATATTACTCTCTCTATCCTTCAATGAGTGATTCAGCTCACTATTTTACACATATTAAGAAAATCGTAAAAAATAAGAGAGAGAATAATATTTTTATCTCTAATCATATATTAAAAATGATGAAAGTTTAATTAATAAAAATATAAAATTAAAAAAAAAAATTAAAAATTAAAATAAATCATTTATTTTAGAATACTATTTTATTTAAAGAGTTCAGTCATTGTGGGAGGAAGAGAATAACATATAGTCATATAGTAACAATCAGTAATACGGAGTAAAAGTTGGACAAGGAGCATAGTCGTGAAAAAGTTGGGAAACTATATAACCATTGTTAACTAAAATAAGTGATTAAGATTAAGAGAGAAAAATGAGTTAAAACACTTTGATATAATGTTTAGAAGGATATAAATATTATCTAATATGATTATATTTTCTTTTTTATTTATTATTTATTTATTTAATCCAAACAACATATGATTATGGATGCGTATATTTCAGTTTTTTTTTTAAATGACTTTTTACAGTGTTACATATGTTACGTTGTAAATAAAATTTACAAAAGAATTTTTTATAAAAATTACAAATAACTATTCGGTTTGAATCGTTTTTTAAAATATTAATTTAGATATTTTATTATTATATTAAAAAAAAATTATATTAAAATTTCAGAAAAAATCATTTAATTGTGAAGTTATTTAAAATAATTTTTTATAAAAATTATTTTTGAGATATAATTTTGGCAAAATATTCATTTTGGTCCATTAACTATAGGTCATGGTTCACTTTGGTCCCTTATTTATTTATTTATTTTTGCGTCAAAATGGTCCCTTAAGTTTCAAAATGCAACCACGTTAGTCTTTCCGTTAATCGGCCTCCAACGTCTATTTATTTGCATGAGGTGGCAAGTGAGCTGGCAGATTTTATATGCATAAAACGTATAAAACATATTTAAGTGTTTCAAAATCTCCTTCACAAAATTTTGTTAACGTTCTCCTTCCCAAAATTTTCTGTATCTTCTTCATCATCTTCCCTTTCTCCATGAATACGAAGCATTCATATCCTCCAAAGAACCTCTTCCAATCTGAAAGTGTTAGGTACAGTAGCTCGCGGATTGCACCACTTTGTCGTTGCGGAGACAATGCTGTTCTTGGTAGGTCCACTGACAAGAATTATGGAAAGAAATTTTGGGTTGTCATAATTACAAGCCTAATTATGGTTTGGATATGTTAAAAGATTATAAACAGAGTTTGATCAAATTTATCGGGCTCATTACAAAGAGGATGTGGCTCCTTCTATTGGTATCACGAGGAATTGGCAGGGGAATTGGCAGAAGACATAAACCAAGTATTGAGTAATAGATTGGAAAGCATAACAAAGGATTTAGATGAAACCAAAAATCAGTACGAAAAATTGAGGGTTAGAAATGAAGAATTAGGGGATGCCGTGTTAGAATTTCAAATTCAACTCAACAAGACATTAAAGTGGAAAAAAACATTGAAGATTCTGTGTTTTGTAGTGTTGTGTATTTGTTATTAAGTTGTATTAGAAGTAGGAGTATGTAGCAATTTGTGTGTAACTTTTTCAGATTGAGAAATTTATGTGCAACCTTATGTGTAATTTTAACACATGTTATCAGTTTAATAAGACTTATTTTGTTTGGCATGTCATTAATCAAAGCATATCAGTTTGGCATATCGTTAATTGTAGCAAAATAATTTTGGGCACATTTTAACACATCAGATTAGTTAAATTGAAAATGCGTAGTTGACATGTTACATAAGTATGTTCCAAAATACTGACATGTTATATAGACATGTTCAAAAGGTTGACAGAATGACACGTTACATAGAGATGTTCCAAAATACATAAACCCTAAAATTATAACTAGATAGTCCTCTTTGATGGGCTTCTCTTGGTTGGAGTAGATCTCCTGGTGGTAGGACCAGTTGCTTTCTTGGCTGCTCCTCTAGTTTTCTCCTTTGTGCCTTGCCCTGGTCCTGACTTTTCTTGTGAAGACTGAGTTGCATTCATGTAACCCTGTACAATTGATGCCTGTATTACTGCAACCTGACTTGCAGTGGTTTGAGATGCATAAACTTTTTTTTGTCCCAATCTGACTTGCATTGGTCCCAACGTGACTTGCGTTGCCTTTCCTTGTAGCGCCTTGTGTTGCCTTGCCTTGCCTTGTCTTGCCTTAA